TTCGAATGGGGACAAATTTGAGTCCCTGTCTGCTTACTCTCTTGATTTAGGAACAGTGTCCCTTCCTTCTCCATTAGTTATTATGACACCTAGAAAACCAGCAGACTCCAGTTTGCTATCCTAGTATTAACTGTTGGGTACTTTGATTCTCAAACAAAAGAGATTCTCAAACAAAAGAGACTCTGTACATATCCTGCCTGGGAATTTTAGACTTTTGTTGGATCTGTTTACTCTAAAGCTCTTTCTAGAAGTAGAAGAGCTGATCTTTTTTACATAGCATTGCTGTTTCCTGGATCAAACTTGTTTGGTTTCTGAACTTTCTTCTATCAAGGTGCTATGCCATCTGTATACACTGGTGAGATTTTAGGAGATTCGACCATGTAGCCATTTTAAGCAGCTATTCTCTGAGTGCTATTTCAAAGTCCTATATAATTGGTAAGTTTCCTTCTTCAAGAGCAGGGATTTAAACAAAAATAGAGAGCTGAAGAGAGAGAACAGGAGCGAAGGGGCTGACCTAGCATGTGGCCAACCCCATTTAATCCCTAGCATTATATATGCCCCCCAAACATAGGGGTGATCCCTAAGCACAGAACCACGAGGAAGTCTCAAGCACCCTGGAATATTCCCTTACTCCACCCCAGAAAAAAGAACATTAAAAAAATATTTAAGTGTAGGAAAAAGCAAACTACAAATTTAAGCCTGTTAATTCACCTAAGCAGCACTCTTTGTACTCATAGCCAAATGACTAAACTTTCTTTTTATAAACAGACAGGGCTTCCTAAGACCAAGAGACCCATCATCACTTTTAGATATTCATGTCACAAGTCAGCCCAGGCTATATTTTACTGTGTGGTTCACTAGCATACTGGCTTGAAATTTTCATTTATTTATAGTGACAGTAACATTTTTGGCACAGGCACGTTCACTAAAGGCCTGATAACCCTTATCTTGTGCTATATGCAGTCCAGCTTTCACTGAGTTGGAGGGGAGTCTTTGGAGGGGGAAGGGAGAGGGGGAGTATTCTGATTTGCCAATAGTTTCCTGATGCAAGTGCATGCAGAGAAGCCATGCTAGCTACCAAGGAAGCCTTGAATTCACCAAGGAAACTGTCAGGCCAGCTTAGAAGCATTAATGATGAAATCCTGGGCTATTTTTTAAAAATTTTTATTAGTGAAACACCATGAGGTACAGTTGTAGACTCACACACTTTTGTGCTTGGGTTTCAATTATACAATGATCAAATACCCATCCCTCCACCAGTGCCCATTTCCCACCACCACGAGTCCCAGTATCCCTCCCACCCCCATCCTCCCCATCCCACCCTGCCTCTGGGCAGGGCATTCTCTTTTGTTCTCTCTCTCCTTTGGGTATTGTGGTTTGCAAAAGAGGCATTGAGTGGCAGTCATGTTTGGTCTACAGTCTACTTTCAGCATGCTTCTCACATCCTGGGAGGATCCTCCCAACACCCTTTATTTGGTGCTCCCTTCTCTATCTAAGCTCCCTTTTCCCCTAGCATGTGTAGCTGGCCTCCAAGCCATGGAGCAAACCTCCTGGTACTAATCTCGGCCACTCTTGGGTGTTAGTTTTCTATTTTGTTACTTTATGTTCCAATCCTGGGCTATTTCTGGAGGCACTGATGGATATTTCAAATAGAAGATGACATTTTGATGGATCAGACTTGCTGTGATAGGAGTTAATGAGGATAATGATGATGATAATGATACTTACATTACACCTTTCTTCCAAAGAAAACTTCAGTCCTTTGATCTCATTTGCATTGAAAAATGTTCCTTTAGAGTTGTGAGAGGAAGGTGCTATTCATCTGTTTTTAATTTTCTCCAAATATCAAGGAAGGTAATTGTCCCGCTTTCAAGCTCCAGTTGAGTGGTGAGAAAATTAAATGCTGAATTACACTGGCAGAAATTAAACTTAGAGACATCAGTCTCAGTTCTGATTCATCCTCTGTAAAGCTGTTGTATCATGCTCCAAAAGTTTTCAGGGGTTCTTGCTGGCTGCCAACTTCAGTCCAAGATACTCTACCTTAGTAGAACCCCTGATGCTCCCATCTACATTGCCCCACCATGCCCTTATACTTTTTATTTATTTATTGATTTATTTATTTTAAATAATGTAGGAGTACTGCTATTCAGCCACTGATTAAGCTGATTAAATGGCCTTATACTTTTTTTTTTTTTGATTTTTGGGTCACACCCGGCAATGCACAGGGGTTACTCCTGGCTCTGCGCTCAGGAATTACCCCTGGCAGTGCTCAGGGGACCATATGGGATGCTAGGAATTGAACCCGGGTCGGCTGCATACAAGGCAAATACCGTACTGGCTGTGCTATTGCTCCAGTCCCTTATCTCATGTTTTAGACAAAATAGTCTTGTTCGCCCCCTCCATCCGCTCTGAACACCTCACTGCCTTTTCCTAACTGTTCATCACACTTGTTTAAGTGTGTTTCTCCTACTTGGACGTAAATTCCAGGAAAATAGAGACTGTCGTCCTTGAACTCCCAGGGCTCGGAAGTTACATGGCATGCTGCTAGGCCTCCCAGCCCCAGGCCTTTGCTCATGCTGTTCCCTCAGCCTCCAGAATCTGCACTCCAGTCTTGACCTATTGAAGCCAGAACCATCCTGCCAAGTCCAGATCAAACCAGAAAGCCTCATGGAGTTGTGTTGACTCAGGAAGCGCTTTGTTCCTCTGTGGGTCTTATCTTCTTATGTTGTGTCATAATCACTGGTGTATTAGTGTGGCTTCCTTCCCTGCCCCTTCTAGGCTGTCAGCATGAGAAAGACAGGAGCCACACCTTGGAGTCTGGCAGAGAGTGTGGGCACTAAAACACGTGCGCTCACTTGTCTAAAACTACTGTCTTCATTCAGCCAAATTCCTATGTCCAGAATCCTTTTTTTTTTTTTTTTGTTCTTGCTTTTTTGGGTTACACCCGGCAATGCATAGGGGTTACTCCTGGATTTGCACTCAGGAATTACTCCTGGTGTGCTCAGGGGACCATATGGGATACTGGGAGTCGAACCCTGGTTGGCTGCATGCAAGACAATGCCCTACCCGCTCTGCTACTGCTTTACCCCCTATGTCCAGAATCTTAATCCCCTTGAGGGGGGCTTTTTTTTCTCCTTCTGATCTTCCTTCATTCTCATTGGAAGAATGAAAGAAAATGTCTGATTATGATACCAATTTTCATTTTATTTTTTCGGAGCGATAGCACAGCGGTAGGGCATTTGCCTTGCACGCAGCCAACATGGCCGACCCGAGTTCGATTCCTCCGCCCCTCTCAGAGAGCCCGGCAAGCTACCGAGAGTATCTCGCCCGTACGCCAGAGCCTGGCAAGCTACCCGTGATGTATTTCGATATGCCAAACACAGTAACAACAAAGTCTCCAATGGAGACATTACTGGGCCCGCTCGAGCAAATCAATGATGAACAGGAGGGCCTAAAAAAGAAACTACTTATTACTGGTTGGGGTAACACTGGTTTACAAGATTATAAATATTATATATTTTGGTGGTACAATGTTACCACATCACACCTACCACCACTCCTGGCAGTGTTCAGGGAACCATATGGGATGCTGGGGATCAAACCCGGGTTGGCCGTGTGCACGGCAAATACCCTATCCGTTGTGCTATTGCTCCAGTCCTGGGTTTCTATTCCTTAATGGGGCCAGAGTGGACCTTCAGGCTACATCTAGCTTCCTGACCCATATTTATTCCAACTTAACTATTTGAAGCACCAGATGAGATGGTATAATTCAATCAATAATCCCTCCAGAAATTTCTGTACTTGTCTGGGTCTCTGGTGAATATTTGCACATATCCTTTGGTTACAATAAAAAGATGGAAAAAAATCAGACAGATGGAAAAAAATCAGGGTTTAAAGTGAAACTTTATGAACTACATTTTTGATAGCTTAGAGAGCCCCTAGAAAATAGCACTATGAACATCTGTGATATAACACTTCATATAAATTAGAAAGATCCGCTTCAACACTGCATTATGAAATAGTCAGGGCTGTTAAAATTGATGATGTGGATCTGTGTTTATTAATATGGAGAGATGCCCACAATATATTGTGAAGTGGAGGAAACAGGTTATGGAACAGCATGAATATATAAAATTATTCCATCTTTAAGTCTGTATCTACTTGTAGATGCGTGCATATTCTTCAAAATATTAGTAGTGGCAATCTAGAAAATGAAATTTTTTTTTTTGCTTTTTGGGTCACACCTGGTGATGCACAGGAGTTATTCCTGGTGGTGCTCAGGGGACCATATGGGATGCTGGGAATCGAACCTGGGTCGGCCACGTGCAAGGCAAATGCCCTACCCGCTGTGCTATCTCTCCAGCCCCTAGAAGATGAAATTTTGAATGACAGTTTACTTTTGCTTTTATCATTTCTACGGTTCTGTTTTATTTAAAATTATTTTAAATTTTATTTTCTTTAAATGTGACTTTCTAAATTTATAAAAAATTTACAGGAACTGCAGCGATAGTATAGTGGGTTGGGCATTTACCTTGCACGTAGCCGACCTGGGTTCGATCCTCAGCATCCCATATGGTCCCCTGAGCACCACAAGGAGTAATTCCTGAGTGTAAAATGAGGAGTAACCCCTGTGCATCACGGGGTGTGATCCAAAAAGCCAAAAAAAAATTTACATATAAATTTATTTTAAATTTTATTTAAAAATTATTACACTTTTTTTTTTGGTTTGGGGGCCATATATAGTAGTGCTTGGTGAGCTACACTGGAATAATGCTCCTCAGAGAACTATACAGTGTCAGAAATCAAACTGGGGCCTTTTGCATGTAAAACATGCACTCCTTTATCTCTCCAGTCTTGTAAATATCATTCAATCTACTGTTTTTGATGGGATTTGATCGGCAGGGATTGTACTTCTGGTCCCCCAGCTAATAGGATGGGAAAAAAATATTGACTTCATTCACCACAGTTGTTTTCATTGCAGAAAAGAGACACACTGTTGATTTGATACAATTCACACTTTATTCCATTGTGATTGGTATATTTGTAGGATTAGGAAAGAATGAGACTAAAATCAGTGCAGAACTTCTCTGGACTAAAGGGGCCATAAAGGCATTTCTGGTTTTGGCACACAGAATAGGCAACCACACACTGGCTGGAAGAAGATGGCCAGGAAAACAAGATGCACAACTTTAACACCATGTTGAAATCATGTCTGAGTTCTGTAGAATGTTGAAGAGTAAGTAATTACAAAGACTAACATGCAACTCTATGTAAGTCACATTACTCATCTACAGACTATTTCCCCCTTAGAGATAAAGAGATGACTGCAGTAATCTCTTCACAGTAACTTAAAAGAACAAACAATACACAATCAGATCTGTCTGCTGATTTCTATAGCAATTTATCATAATTGAAGAATAATGTAATATAATGTATTTTCTCTATATTGCCTTTCCTTATTCTATTGAATCTGTGATCAAGTAATTATTATTTAATTTTTATTTAAATAGAATTTCTAATGTCTTTTATAACACCACAAAGCACTTTCTGTTAGATTAGCTACTCTTATAACTTTTAATAGACAAGAGGGGAATCTATGTGTTATCTTTCTCTTTCATGATAAATGATGCAGATGAGAACATCGAGGAAGTAGTAATACCACAGGGCTGCAAATATTTCTGACTTTTCTACTTCCAGACAGGAAGTAGAAAGAAGTTAGTCTTACGTGATGGAGCAGTGCAGAATAAGAGCCTTGCATAAGAGGCACACAGATTCTATTGATTTCTTGAGATAAAAGGAAAGAGGAAAGAAGGGAAAAAGCGAAAACAATAATACCACTCTTCTGTAGAACAGATTGATCAAAAGAAAAATATATTTACTTGCAATTAACTAAGCAAAATAGATACTGGTTCTTTAATTTAGGATGACAGAACTAAAGGTTTTGGGAATTATATGCCAGTTAATCTTACTATTAAGCCAAAACTAGCTGGTTGTGTTAATTTTCTCATGGTTATTTTTGAGATATTAAACTCACAGAGGGAGAATTTTTGTTTTTGTTAGCATAGGGCTAGATTTAACACAAAAGGCAGTAACTGCTGAGGACAATTTTTCTTTATTATCTTGGTCATATGGGTAGCATTAATTCTCTCTCTGCTAGAAACATATTATTTCAGTCAAGATGAAATAATGGGATAGTTTGAAATATAACAGTGACCTGGACCTTATGTTCATTCACAGGATGCATATAATGAGATAGTTGCATGTCATATAAATTTTAAAGTGAAGCAAAAGGGAAAAAGAATTTCTTTTACTTCTGGCATAGATCATTAAATAAACGAAAAAGATAGTGGTTAAAGATATCCTGGCATTCACAGTAATTTATCACTTCCATCTGCTAAAGGGGGAGCTGAAATGAATGAAGGTAACATTCTCCTGGTCCCCAAACAAGGAATGCCTGATTAGAACACACATGGTTGCAGAGCTAGTCTTGATGGAGTATTTCTTAATCACCTTAACTCTCAATCTTAACCAGCTGCAGGCAACACAGGAAAGGTGGGGATGACTAGAAAGTTTGATAACATGTCTGGATCAGTTATCATCCCTTGGAAAGTACCATTTCATGTTAAAAAGCTGATTCTTTCTAGTTCAAGTCAAAAACAATGATCACTTCCTTCACAGCATCATTCTTCTTTGTAAGGGGCCTGTGTTGGTTTAAGGGTTTTGGAATGTGAAGACTGGAGAGGGAAAATCAGGTTTCATTGAATTTCACAGTAAATATTCATGGACATTTCAAAGCAGAACTGCCCATTGTCTGCAGTTGGTTTCAGGCCCCAAGTCAATCACTTCTTGAACACGCTCCATCTGACTCATATTAGGCCATCAATAATCATTCTTGACATGGAATGTATCCTTTGAAATAAATAACTTTGCTAGACCAGGATAACTGCAGCGGATAGAAGATGGAAACAGTGTGAATCATAATGCGGGAATAAGAGAAGAATAGAAATGAGATGAAGAAAAAAAACCCAGAATGTTCTCAAAGTTCTATATAGGAATGGTATTGAAGGAATAAACTTCACCGGCAATGAAGCAAAAGCTCTTGAAATGTGACAAAGTCTAAGAAGGTGTATCCCAGGGATAGCTTCAAGCTTCTTGGTTCATGGTACAATTATCTTGCCATTCCAGAGGTGGTATCCTATCTCTTCTGAAATTTAGATCTCGGGATGAAACTCATCAAGATGTGCCTCTATGTAGTCAACTCTCCACTCAAATGCTGCTCTGATTTTAGTCATGGTTCTTCTGAGGGGCTATTTGTCCCTCTGAGGAAGAGTGAGGGTGGTGGTGAAGATATTTCTTTGAGGCACAGGGGACTGATAACGAACCCCTTCACACGGGAAGGGGTCCACAAGGCAAGACCCTGGTTTTACCCAAGATTAAGGTGACTCAATAGAAGTAGAGACGGCAAAAGAAAAGGAGCAGAAGAAACTTTTCAGACTTCAGAAGAAAACAAGAGGGAATGAGTGACGATCATGGGTCAAGAAGTTTCCCAGGAACCAATGATGAAACAGAGAAAGAAGCCCTAGTCTATCTGACTGATCAAGAAGACATTTTGGAACAGTCTGGCAACTAAAGAATCTTCACATTGTTAAGACAGTCATGAAAACCAGTGTTTCCTTACTATTATTAATCACATTTCAATAATTCGTTTAAGCTTTCTATTATCTACATTGCTGAATTCCTATAGCACACCCACAGCTTAGGTACCACCTCCAGGGGAGGAAGGGGAGGTGTAGAAGGAAGGAATTAAATAGAGAATGAAACTTGTAAACCAGTTAGTAGCACAGTGGCACAGTAGATTGTCAACGAAAACAACAGGAGTGGATAGTTATTGACCCAGTAAGTGCAGACCCGCCAGTTACAATGGAGGGACCGCAGCTCAGGAGTCTACTTTCTTGTTAATTAAAATCGAGCTGCATGTGAGCAGCCCATCCACCTTTTCAAGTTCAGAATTGCTCACGGGGATGAGCATATGGTCCTTCAGCTTTTCATAAACCTACAGCAAGAAGGAAAGAAAGGAAGAAAAGAATTATATGTTGGCTTTTGTCTAACCCACTCCTTCCTATTTAACCACCTGGTAGAAAAAATTCATTTAGTTTATGAATTTAGGCTTTTCATCCAAGGGAACGAAAGAGAAGCAAACAATGGAAGCCTCCCCCTCTCCCTCCCCTCTAACATGCCATGAGAATAAGCAGAGAGTTCAGAACTGGTTACCCACTTGCTCTCTGCTGTGACCTCAGTGTCAGAGAAGTGTAGGAAATGTGATTATTACTGCTCCCTTTCTCTGTCATTGTCATCTCTAGACTAAGAGATAGAAGAGCACAGTGGCAGGGTTTTCAGGCTGAATATTTAAACCTGTAGTTGAAAGCCCTCTCTACTGCACTTTAATCTTTCTTTCCTTACCAACACCACTCAAAAATTGACAAAATATAATTTAAGTGGAGTATTTGAGATCAAACTGCTTTTACATTATAGGTGTGAATTGTACCATCTTTAGACACTAATAGCATGTATCAAAGCTTCAAATTAACAGCTCCCAGATTTTTCTCTGATTTACAAAACAAGCATTAAAAAATCACCACAATCATTTGCAAACATACTGCTTAAAAATAATTTTTCAAGATTTTTTTTTTTTTTGCTTTTTGGGTCACACCTGGCAGTGCACAGGGGTTACTCCTGGCTCTGCACTCAGGAGTTACTCCTGGCTGTGCTCAGGGGACCATATGGGATGCTGGGAACTGAACCTGGGTCAGCCGCATGCAAGGCAAATGCCCTACCCACTGTGCTATCTCTCCAGCTCCCCATCAAGATTCTTTTTTTAGGGCGTGTGTGCACACAGACACAACACATACACAGACACATGAAGATACAGACACAGACACATGCACACACACAGACACACATAGATATACACACGCACACACACACACACCATGCAGAGCTTGGGGGCCACTCTAGGTTTGGATAAAACCCAAGGCTCCTGCCTATGAAGCATGCACTCCCCCACACTGAGCCTCTCCCCAGACTCTACCATGCTTCTTTTCTTTCTTGCATTTCAGTACAGTGGTTAATTTAGTATGCTGAGGTGGGATCAAATTGGATTTGAATTCTAATTTTGTTAATTTACTACCTAAAATGTTGCATTAGTCTAGTGTCATCCTCTGGGAGCCTTGGGTTTCTTCTGCAAAGTTGGAATAATAGGGGCTGGAGCAATAGTATAGCAGGTAGGGCTTTTGCCTTGCACGTGGTCGACCCGGGCTCGATTCCCAGCATCCCATATGGTCCCCCGAACACTTCCAGGAGTAATTCCTGAGTGCAGAGCCAGTAGTAACCCCTGAGCATCGCCGGGTGTGACTCGCAAAGAAAAAAATTGGAATAATAATAATAGCCCCAATAATAATGGCCCTTAGAGGGCTCTAGTAAGGATAAGTAAGATAATGCAGGTAGCATGCTTGGCAGTCGTGACAGGGTATGCCCTTAGCAAACAAAGACCATGTTACTGCTCTTTTTTTGATGGACACAAGGCTGAATTTAGAAACAGTTAAGGATCTTGACTGTCAGGTGACCAATCTTGATGAAGAGCCATCCAGGGCTGTTTCTGCAAGTGAGTTTGGTAACTTTGGTGCTTGTTGATATTATAGATTCAAGGGTGGGGAGAAGTTCAGGAAATTATTTTATTTTTATTGTTATTGTAAGCAATAATGTCAATATTTATGGTCTTGATGTACAATTACTTCACTTACTACAATCCAAGTTCCCAAGACTCTCCAACAATGTCCTTAAATTACTTCAAATTCACCTTGTCCCTTCCTACTCCTCGCTGCCTGCTAATCTCAGTTTTGTAATCCAAGGCTAAACTTTTGTCATTGTTTAGTACTATATCCTTGTTTTGTTTCTCTGTATACCACACATGAGTGAGATCGTCAAGCATTTGACTTCTTCCCTCTGACTTATTTTGCCTAACTAAAATGATGCATCTGGTTTTATTCAGATTGTGTCAAACTGCAAGATTTTATGTTACTTCAAAGCTGTGTAGTATTCCATTATGCATGTATGTGTGTGTGTATGTATGTGTGTGTGTGTATATATATATGTATATATATATATATCACAATTTCTTTATCCACTCACCGGTCCTTGGACATTTATATATCCTGGCTATTGTACTAAGCACTGCAATGAACATAGGTGTGCATATGTGTTTTTGTGTTTTGGGGGTCATTGACAAAAAGAGAGATTTACAGCCATTTGAAAGCTCTAACCATAAACTTTGGAGAAATCTCCATAATATATATTTTAAATAATCTGATGCACATTAAGTAAGAAGCTCATGATTCACCTGAGACCCGAGTTAAGTTCATTTTGGGTCTTGAGTTCTATGTTTTACTTAGGTCCACGTTTTTAGTTATGGTAAAATTAAAATTTTCATCATAGGTAAAAAATGATCTATACTCAAGGTGGGGAGAAAAGGAGAGGCAGACTACAAGAGACATAAGGACAGTGGTAGAGGGTTTTGGTAGTGGAGAAGGAGTACACATCCCGTATACCAAAATTGTAAAACTTAACATTACTGTAGTCATGTTATATAAACTACAATAAAAATTAAAAATAAAAAATTATCTATCTCCCCATCTTTCCCTATTTATCTGCCAAAGAGGAAACTGATTATGAGCTATGCCTAGTAATTATGTAATGTTGCATGCTTAGACATTGGCTTAAAATGTTTTCTAAAAATTTTATTTATTTATTTTTGCTTTTTTTTGGTCACACCTGGCGATGCACAGGGGTTACTCCAGGCTCTGCACTCAGGAATCACTCCTGGAGGTGCTCCGGGGACCATATGGGATGCTGGGAATTGAACCCGGGTCGGTCAACGTGCAAGGCAAACGCCCCACCCGCTGTGCTATCTCTCCAGCCCCTAAAAATTTTTAATTTGCTAAAAGAAAAAGATGAAAAATTTATAAAAGCTTTTCTGTAATGCTTAGTAGAAATAAGTTGTTCGTTGGGGGAAAGGTGCTCGAAACCTTTAAAGTTAAGGGCATTGGAAGAATCTCAGAATTGGCACAACACCATCCTGGTAGGTTTAAATTGAAATCACTAAAGTAAACAAAAGTAACTGGCAGAGTTCCTTGAAAGACAAGGAAGATTTTCCTAGACCCACAGAGAATTTCATATCTAGGAACATTTTGTTGTTGTTGTTGTTGAAACACAGGATGCAGAGACCAGCTGGCTATTCCAAGCATACTCTCTTCCTTCCGCTTTTCCTCTTGACCCTTTGCTGCCAGGAGGTTGTTTCCTTTTTGCAGTTCTGACAACGTGTATCTACCTCTTTGATTCCTTCTCTGCCTGGAAATCCAATGACTTGATGAGGAGCACCTCAGATTTGTTAGAAATTAGAATTACACGGCTGATCAAGTAGCTGTGTGTTACTAGGCTTAATTGGTATGTGAGAATATGAACACTGAAATCATGAGCGCCAAATTTTAACAACTGAACTTAAGTGACTGTTAGGAGAGAAGGCTGGTGGGGCAGGGGGTATGGGAGGGAACCTTTTTTTTTCCCTTTTGGGTCACACCTGACGATGCACAGGAGTTACTCCTGGTTCATGCACTCAGGAATTACTTCTGGCAGTGCTCGAGGGACCATATGGGATGCTGGGAATCGAACCTGGGTCGGCCGTGTGCAAGGCATATGCCCTACCTGCTGTGCTATTGCTCCAGCCCGGGAAGGCACATTTAATCAGGGCCAGAGAACAGACTTGAGAAATCCATATACTTACTTTGAAAAGCATTGAAAACCAGGCATAATTATCTGAATGACAATGCATTAATTAGTTACCAATAACATGAAAGAGAAGAGTGAGCCCTAAACCATACAGACCTTTCTTAATGATCTGATGTGTAAAGTGGGTAAAAAAAGCACCTGTTATCTATCACTCCATCATGAAAAATCCCTCAGACAAGAAGACTATCCGGGAGACCTACCCAGTGGCAAAGGCCTGAAAGGAAGGTTTTTGGTTTTGTTTTTGTTTCTTTACCTTTGCACTTTCTGGATACTCCTCTGGGGTTCGGTGCAGCAGGACATGGCCTTTGCTGGGGATGTTTAAATATATACAGTTTGCAGCCATGTCATCAGGCACAGTGAGTTTGTCGTAGCGGTGGTCACTCATCTGTTGCATAATCTAGAATGAGAAACAAAACAGGCCTAAACACATTCAGGCAGAAGAAAGTCCCTGTGCTGGGACTTGCACTGAAGCCTCTGAATTTCATGTCATCTGTGCATGTCTGTTACCTCTAGGAGAACCAGAGGAGGAAAATCTGATGAAGCCATGATTCTTCGGAAGAATTGCATGAGGAGTTCTTGCTGTTTATTCCCTTAAAAGTATGTGTCCACAGGACGTTATCACTTATATGTGGTATTTAGACAACCTGATGAAGGAATGCAATGGTTTAATGGGTCAGTGGGCAGGGGTTGTGCCCAGATCACCTTTGGCCCCAGAGTATAGACAGGAGAAGGAAAGAAATAGAGCTCAGCGGGTGGGGGTGGTGGTAGCGGGGTGGGGTGGGGGATGGGGGGTGGGAGAAGAGACAGATGGGAAGCAATGGGGGGGGCAGGGGTTAAAGGGATCCAGCAATGGGGGGCAGGGGTTAAAGGGATCCAGGTAGATTGATGGCATTAAGGAATGAGAGAACCAAACACTAAAACCACAGAGACAACAACACTGAAATCATGAGCGCCAAATTTTAACAACTGAACTTAAGTGACTGTTAGGAGAGAAGGCTGGTGGGGCAGGGGGTATGGGAGGGAACCTGGGAACATTGGGGGCAGGGAAGTTGACCCTGTGGTGGGATTGGCTGGAACATTCTATGTCTAAAACTCAATTCTAAGTAACTTTGTAAACCACAGTGCTTTAATCACTGTCACTGTCCTCCCGTTGTTCATTGTTCATCGATTTTTGCTCGAGCAGGCACCAGTAACATCTCCATTGTGAGACTTGTTACTGTTAAAAAAGGTGTGTGTTTGTCCCTCGTTTTAAGAAGAGTTTAAAAAATTGCCTGTAATATTTTTAGTTTTTGTTCCAAAGGTCTATCAGTAGGGCAAAAGATGGCCACAAAACTCAAAGTGCCTAGCTGGTTTTTTTTTTTTTTTTTTTTTTTTTTTTTTTTTGCTTTTTGGTTTGGGTCATACCCAGTGATGCACAGGGGTTACTCCTGGCTTATGCACTCAGGAATTACTCCTGATGGTGCTTGGGGCACCATATGGGATGCTGGGAATCGAACCCGGGTTGGCTGCGTGCAAGGCAAACGCCCTATCCACTGTGCTATCGCTCCAGCCCCCCAGTTGTGGTTTTGATCATAACCTTGGTTGAATAAGTAAAATTGCCCTAGGAAGAACTGTTAACTGTAACCAGAATCAATAACCAGGTTACTGATCTCACATATTATATAGTAATAATCACACACAAACAAAGTTTTCTCTTTATATGTTTAAAAACCCCTAAAGTCTTCAGATGACTGGATAAAAAAACCATGACAAAAAAAAAACAGAAAGAAAAAAATCAAACAGTTAACTGCTACATTGATTAAACTGTAGGGTATCATGTGAGTGAAATCAGACAGGAGAGAGACAAATACAGAATGATCTGTGGTATATAAGGAAGGAACAGGGGAATAATAACAGCCAAAATAATAAACATAATCTAAAAACTTATCTACAGAATGGAGCTTACCATGGCAGTGAGATGTGGAGGAAGTGGAGGGGTTGTGAGGGGGACTGGTATATGGTGGAGAGAAACAGACACTGGAAGGGGTGTGGTGACAGAATGCTGCACCCATGAAATCCTATCATTGACAGTATTGGAAAATTGTAAATCATGGTGACTAAAATAAAAATTAAAAAAAATTCACGTTCTTATATTTAAAGCTTTAAATGCACGTATTGATCTCCCTGTCTATTGACAAGTGTGACCCTAAATTCAACAAATATAAAATCATCTGGGGAGAATTGGCTAATTTCATATTCCCAGACCTCACCCACAGGAATTCTGGTTTGACAGATTTTAGGTGAGCTGTAGAAATTTAAATTCTAAAAACCTTCCAGGTAATTCTGAGGCAGATGGTCCTTGGACCCACTGGGAGAATAATGGTTTGAGCATGTCTATTTATCAAATGATGGGTTCATTAGAACCTTAGTATAAAGTGACCTAAAAAATGTTACACAGGGGCTGGAGCGATAGCACATCAGGTTTGCCTTGCATGCGGCTGACCCGGGTTCGATCCCCAGCATCCTTGAGCATCGCCAGGAGTAATTCCTGAGTGCAGAGCTAGGAATAACCCCTGAGAACCACTGGGTGTGACCCAAAAAGCAAAAAAAAAGTTACACAGCTGGGGAAACTGGTGTTGGGAAATGTACATTCGTGGAGGGATGGGTGTTGGAACACTGCATGGCTGAAACCTAATCATGAACAGATTTTTTGCTTTTTAAAAAATTTTTTTTAATGAATCACCGTGAGATACAGTTACAGATTTACAAACTTCATGATTACGTTTCAATCATACAGTGACTGAGTACCCATCCCTCCACCAGTGCCCATTTTCCACCACCAATGTTCCCAGAATACTTCCCGCCACCCCCCCTATCCCCCCACCCCCACCCCTGCCTCTGTGGCAGGCACATTCCCTTTTACTCTCTCTCTCCTTTTGGGTGTTGTGGTTCCAAAATGGGTACTAAGTGGCCATCATGTTCTGTCCATGGTCTACTTTCAGCACACATCTCCATCCCGAGAGAGCCCTCCAAGCATCATTTACTTGGAGGTCCCTTCTCTATCTCAGTTGTCTTTTCCTTCAGCATGTGAGACCGGCTTCCAAGCCATGGAGCGATCGTCCTGACCCTTATCACTACTATCCTTGGGTGTTAGTCTCCCATTATGTTACTATATATTCCACAAATGAATGCAGACGTTTTATATCATGAACAACTTCGTAAGGGTCTATTTTACAGTAATTCAATTAAAAAAATCTTTAAAAAAAGTCACACAAAAATGAGCCCTGCACAGAATTTAAAAAACTGACAATCAAATTTTACCTCCTTAATACAATCATCCCCACCCCACCCTCTAAAAAATATCCAGACACCAAAAACAATTATTTGGCGGCCACAGTCAAGCAGACTTTTAAAATATGTATGAATATTTGGTTTGTGTGTGATGCTGGGGATTGAACTCAGGCCACATACATGGGAGGCATGTGCTCTACTCTATACCCCCAGCCTGACTTTTCCATTCTTTATCATTATTTAAAAATTTTAAGGAAATTTGCTGAAATGTCATGCCATGGTATAACAAGATCTTTCCCACAATCTGGTTCTAATCTACCTTTCTAGAAAAATCTCCCTTTACCTTTCCATATTTATATTACCAGATACCAGAGTTCAATCCATTTTCCTATTCAGAAAGGCATCATAGGACAATAAGATATATGAAATGCAATATCAGAAGAGACTGCATGCTCTTACTCTGGAGTAAGATTTATGTTTGGGTCTTAGTTCTGATCTGTATTAACTATGTATAATTGAGCTTTCTCTTGGTCTTCTTGGGTCCCTTACCTATAAAACTGGGATGCTATTAGTCTTATGTTTGCTGTGAAAGTTAAAAGGAGATAATGTATGAAACATTAAAAAAGATACTACTATTTAATGATAGCTGATTAGACAGAAAAGATTCAAGTTTCCAATTTGCATCCATTGAGCCTCACTCTTAAATTAGTTTTGAAGGTCAATCCTTATTCTGAAAAATGCTGAAAACTGTACCCAAAATATTTCTATGATGGTTTCTTCAACTCCCTTATTCTAGGGCCTGTGTACATTTTTTAAACACCTAATCTAAGCAGTTATGCAAGTTCAGCACCTTTTCAGTCTGGGTCTGTAGCACTGTAGCACTGTCCTCCCTGTTGTTCATGGATTCGCTTGAGCGGGCGCGAGTAACATCTGTCTGGGTCTACTTGAGAAAATTGCTATTATGTTTTCAGAATTTTAAAAATTAGGATACATTTTAATATGATAGTTTTATAAAGTTTTTCTCTATCTTTAGATGGACTACTAGCTTCCTGAATGCAAATTTAGGCCTAATACAGTGGGGAGTGTGTGGGCTTCAGACTCAGAAAAATCTGGGTCTGAAGTTTGGTTTTTATTTATCTAACTAGATGACCTTGAGTTAGTCAAACTCTCAAGCTCAATTCCCTTAACCGAAACATGGGATGCCAATATCATACCTATACTTCAGTGGGGAACACTGGAGATAATTTTAAATAAATAAAACATCATGTATGAGAAGTAATTTGTACACATTAAAGCATAAACTAATGAGTAATACATGTAAATATCCTTCACTCTTTATTTCTGATAAGCCACTTGGCAAATAACAAATACCCCAAATATGTCTGTAACAAATTTATTTATGTATTCATTACTTATAAAGGATATACGGTGAAGCTCAGACATATACTGGGATAGGCTACATGCTTAGTCACATATGTCGCTAAATAAATTTCTCTCAGAAAAATAAAGCACAATCTATGTCCAGAAACAAATATAATTCATGTGATTGGACTGAGATCAAGAAGCCAATGCTTATCTTTTTGCTTATGCTAATTCTAACACAAATGACTTTGTGTATAAGATAGGGGGGAGTGGTTTGTCTGGGGTGAACTGGTATATGCAGCACTTAAAAGCATTAAAATAAAATAATTCCATACATGTCGAAGTGAACACATAGACCTTTATTGATTTGTGATACCTGATTTAGCAAAAGAGCAAAATAATCTGGAAACCCAATGACTACACTGATTTCTTCTTGTCCCTATGAGAAAGAGAAAGGTAAGGAGTTGTACAACTTGTCAGCATTCACTTTTGGTCAGAGTGACCAGCAGGTCACTTTCTGGATGCAGGGAATGCAACGGCATGACATTGAAATCGTTGCTTACTCTCTGCTGTTGAAGACTGGCCAAGATAGTCTGTTAGTTCAAGTTTGCATTGAAGCTAAAGCTATCTTCAAAGATAAAATGCCACTGACCAAGCAAGCGGAAACAGATAAACAAATGGGACTATCTTAAACTAAGAAGCTTCTGTACCTCTAAAGAAACAGTGATCAGAATACAAAGACAGTCTACAGAATGGGAAAGAATA